TAAAGTTGTCCTGTTTGTGGCTGATGGAGGATCTGATCTGTGGACTGTTGTCATGTCTTCCAGGGTAACGTCGTCCTCTGGAAGCCGAGCGACACCGCCATGTCTGCCAGCTACTCTGTGTATAAAATCCTCAGGGAGTGCGGCATGCCACCAAACATCATCCAGTTCTTGCCCGCTGACGGCCCCGTGTTCGGAGACGCCGTCACCGCCTCGGAGCACCTGGCAGGCATCAACTTCACCGGCAGTGTGCCGTAAGGATGTTTACGACTGTTTCCACACAAGAATGTCCTGCAGAGTCTAAACACTCAATCTCTGAATCTCGCTGTGCACCAAAGCTGGAGCTCCGCCTTCTTGGACGCTCTGTTAGTACAGTGACCTCACAGCAGTTATTGGTCAGATCATTGAATACTCCAGCAGCACAAACACAGTCCAGAGGTTCAGTTCAGGTGAAGCTGGCCACGCCCCCAATAATAACAAGCTTAACACAGTTTAAACAGGTGAGCTATAAAAACTTTGTCCCCTCCCACAGGTGTCAGCTTGTCTCTGACTCCTGTTAAAGGACTGAGCCGTATATAAAACTGTGATGCTTTCTTTAATACAGCTGTTATAACAGTTGTTATAAAGGGGAACCAAAGGCTGTAAACTAACATCCTGACTCGCTGCTGGCGCCTCTGCTGGACGTCAGTGGAACTGCAGTTTCAGTTTGTCAGAGTTGATGTGTGAAACGTCTTTCGTCCTCCGCCTGTCCGTCTCTTACAAATGGTTCTGTGTTCGTAGGACGTTTAAGCGTCTTTGGAAGCAGGTCGCGCAGAACCTGGACGTCTACAGGACTTTCCCTCGACTGGCAGGAGGTCAGGAGCGCTCCTCGCTGTCCGCTCTCACTACTTCCTTTAAAAGCAGCTCGTGTCCGTCACTTCTTTGTGTTTTCAGAGTGCGGGGGGAAGAATTTCCACTTCGTCCACACGTCAGCGGAGGTCCAGAGCGTGGTGATGGGGACCATTCGCTCGGCGTTCGAGTACGGAGGTCAGAAGTGCTCGGCCTGCTCGAGGATGTACGTACCGGACAGCCTGTGGCCGCAGATCAAAGAGCAGCTGCTCGCCATCCACAAGGACATCCGAGTGGGCGACGTGAGTACAGAGAGCTGCTGCGTGTTGGCGTGGTCAGGAGCGGCGAGCGGCTTTGCTCGCCTCAGATTTCATGTAACACGTTCAGTTTGGTTTTTATCTGTTTGGGCTTTTTTAATGACGTCAGCCGAGAATCAGAACGGGTCGTTTAAAACCTCGGACTTTACGAAGGACGACTCTGACATCGCTCGCTTACCTGAAACACGTGTGGACGAATCGCCCGCATGTTGAGACCAGTGTCACGGTGCCGGCTTCACACAGACCCACTAATGTAAGCTGAGTTTAAGTCCCAGTGTAAAACTGGGACAAATGGGCGTCTTCTATCCTCCTCTATTAGTGGTTAAGCTAACACCAGCGTTAGCCTGCTATTGTCAGAAAATGGAGAGATTAACATCAAAGAGTTATTTCACATCACCTGGATCATATCTATTCAAATGTAGAGGGATTGGCTGACACACAGTGACAAACATGCTGCTCCCAGCAGGCTCCTGCTCAGTGTCTGTAAAACTGTTGTGGTGGGAAAAGAAACGCCCGCTGTCCCAGCTTTACACCAGGACTTGAACGCAGCTTACATCTGCGTGAAGCGGGCAGCATTAATTTGTGTCTTGACCGCGTGTGCGTGTGGCGTCTCCTGTGCGTATCAGGCGATTCGTCCGCGCGTGTTTGAGGTTTTGTGGGCGAGTTGCAGATGTTAGCGTCGTTTGAGACGTGCACACAGAAGCGGTTTCAAAAGTCTGAGCTTTTCATAAGCGATCAGTATTTATTCAGGGTTAGATGTTCATTAATAACAATTCAATTTTCAGTTGTGCCAAATAACAACAGGGAGCTTTATGCTGTAAGGTCGACCTACAATAATACACACAGAGAAAAACCCAACAATCATATGACCCCCTATGAGCAGCACTTTGGCGACAGTGGGAAGGAAAAACTCCCTTTTAACAGGAAGAAACCTGCAGCAGAACATCCAGGTGATTCAGCCTGACGTGCAGAAGCGTGCAGTCGTGTTCGCACTCACATCCTGCATTATTTGAGCGTTAATGATTTGCAGCAGGTGACTCAGTCAGCTGTGGGCCACCAACAGGACGTGGGGGCGGTCCTAAAGTTTCGCTCTGAGTGTGTGATGTTTGAGTCTCACTGATTTCCTCTGTTTCCTCAGCCTGTCGAGGACTTCAGCACCTTCTTATCAGCCGTGATCGACGACAAGGTAAACATCCTGTCGCTT